TACACACACACACACACATATATATATATATATGTGTGTGTGTGTGTGTGTGTGTGTGTAAAAATTGCATTGTCTTCTGGAAAATTTAATACAAGAATCTTTGTAATACTAGTTTACCAGCGCGACGCAATTTAAAAGCGAGATGGGCAAGACAAAGGAGCAGTTAGAGGAAGACAAGAAGATCTGTTTGCAATATAGAGTAAAATCCCTTGAACTGGAAGGACTTAGTAGTGATGAACTGCGGAAAAAAGCTCAAGAACTATGGGATAAAATCAGCACCTTGGAGTCGGATAAGTACGATTTGGAGGAACGGAAGAAACGTCAGGACTACGATGTTAGTTGCTTTATATATTGTGATTTATTAGTATCATCAAATAATTAACACGCATATACCATGAAAACAGGGTTAGATTTTCATTGAAAGAATAAAATAATTGAACAAAAGTAATTCAAAACATGATATTTTAATTGTTATTGAACCTGGGGATCTTAAAAATAATAAATATATTTTCAAGCTCTATATTAGATCCATATACAATATAAGTATAACTTTTACCATGCTGTGTTACTCATACTTGTACTTCGGCCTAAACAAGTGAAATTTTTACCACAGTGCGGACACACAGCGTATTGGGTAATACATCTACATTATCTACTGTTATTTGTTGCCATTTTTAATTTGATTTTATATATGTTATTCTATTATAACGATTATTTTGCATTGTTAGCTTATATGGATTTACGACTAACGTTAGCCTCCTGGGCTGGTCGAACCTCGTGAGGTATTATTGGGTTTACGGCCGAAAATATCGTTAACCATGAAGGTACCCATCTGATAAAATAATGCGCTCTAATCATTATAAGTGCCCCCCAGTGGCACAGCGGAATATCTGCGGACTTACAATACTAGAAACCGGGTTTCGATACCCATGATGGACAGAGCACAGATAGCCCTTTGTGTAACTTTGTGCTTAACTACAAACAAACGAATCGTTATATGTAGTATAGATCGAAAATTATACTTAATTAGATATGCTTGTTACAACGTATATATATATAGTTCTGATCTAAGTAGGTAACTTGTTTTGATCAGAAGTTAATATAAATAAATGATATTCGTGGATAAGAGATTCCCTTGATAGTTTACATAAAAATTAAATCACTTGGAACTTGATTTCTCACTCTTAAAACATCTATACATCAGTAAAGTTAAAGGGATTTCATTGTGTTATCGTTTTGCTGTAAAACAAAGTTTCCGAAGCTATCTCCCCATTTGCACTAAGTCAATTTCATGATGAAACTAGTGCCATTTATTACGTCTCCACATTATGCAACAGTTACCTAGTTTTGACTCTCCACTTTGACATTGTAGTCACATCAGCCGATTTCAAAGGTATATCAGAGAAAAACATTTAATACTAATAATGTTATTTTCAAATATGAAGGAAAATATGTGTAATAAGTGTATAAGTGTAAAAAGATATTTTTGAAACAAAAGTGGTTTCTTATTCATCGAAAAAAAAACACTTTACGAATAGTCTGTATAGACTTAAGATTTTGTCTAGCGATTACACGAAAACTCCGTATTTATTGTATTGTTTTGAAGATAATATAACTTATCCACAGCTCAAAGAACTTAATGAACGACAGAGACAGATAAACCGAAACAAAGCTTTGAAGAAAGGCTTAGATCCTGAGTAAGTACTTAAGGTTTTTCTAGCTTTAGTTACTTACCTGTAATAATTAAGATACTTTTCCTAGTGTCAGTATGTCTTACTTAGAAACAAAAGTAACAAATTTCTGTCAAGCTAACTCATACGTTACATGTGGATGTTGTCAGCAATATATATTTGGCATTGAAAACGAGATTCATGTTTCTCATATATCTAGTTGCATTTATTTGCCAGTTTTACAGAAATTTAAAAAGTTGTATTGTTGAGAAATTCATAGAAATATACACACGAGTGTAATGTACTAACCATACGTACACATAGAAATAGATACAATGATGGTACCGGCATGACCAGGTGGTTAGGGCGCTTGACTCGCAATCTGAGGTTGGCGGGTTTGAATCCCCGTCCCACTAAACATGCTCGCCCTTTCGGCCGTGGGAAGAGTTATAAATTGACGGTCAGTCCCACTATTTGTTGATAGCCCAAGAGTGGGTGTTGATGACTAGCTGCCTTCTCTCTAGTCTTTCAGTGCTAAATTAGGGACGGCTAGCGCATATAGCCCTCGTGTAGCTTTGTGCGAAATTCAGAAGAAACAAACATTATAAGTGCCCCCCAGTGGCACAGCGGTATGTCTGCGGACTTACAATGCTAACCATACATATACATAGATACATATACACGAGTCTAATGTACTAACCATATGTACACGTAGGAAGATATGTATGTAGAACTGAAGTAATAAAGTAAAAAGTTTTAAGTTAATTACTAAATGTTCAATATGTAATTTAAGGTAAAACGAAAAGCTGAACTTTTTAACTATGTCGATTATTAAAATTATCGAAAATGTTAAATTTTTTTCCTGTGTTAAATCAAGTTGTAAGTTATATATAAAATAAGTTATGAAACATTTAATTAACATTAAAACATTTTCCGTAACTAAGTTTTTGTCCTTCTAAAATGGAATTAATTTCATTGTTGTGTTTTTCTTTTATGTGTAAATTTTGTTGAAAAGTTTTCTCTCATAGAAACGATTATTACTAAAAGAAGTACAGTTTTGAAAAGTTATAAATATCGATCTACTTACTAAACATATATTATCATTATTTTCCAGAGCTCTCCAGGGAAAGCACCCGGTAAGATGAATTGGTAACATAATATTTAAGAAATATCTTTCATGAACAGATAAATAATTATATATATATATAGTGAGTATATAACTAAATCAATAAACTATTTTTTAAATATAATATTTGAAGATTTTAAAATATATACTAATTTGTTGATGAAAATATTTGAATTATTGTTTTGGTCTCAAATAGTAGTTTTCATGGAGCCTCAAGAAATAATTAGTATCCACTTCTCAAACTGTTTGAAATACATATAGTTCAGACCAAACATCTCAAACATCGATTATGTCACTATTACATAAGATCACTGTATTATATTTGTAGCTTAAATTTAGCATACATTTCAAGGCTTATAAATCCCCATGCTTCTACTACCTTCTCCAAAGCATCATCAAATTTTCCCCTTTCTCTTGAGGATTCTACTACTCAAGTTTGAACACCTAATACAGTAGTACTATAAGTGCGAAAACAGATTCTACAAGATATTGTATGGTGTAAAAAAACACTGATTATATAGCAAACGTACACCCCAACTAAATAAGAACGGTCTTGACTAAAATGCTTGCATACTGTTCTATATTGATGTTATTGTCAACATCCATGGAGTAGTTATTTAGTAAGTGACCGTGTAGTAACAGAGAAGGTGGCGTATGATCAGACAAATATGTACGAATTGTTATTCTGGTCTATATAAAATACAAAAACGTACACATCGTCATCACTTACATAATCAGTTCACTAACTTGCAGTTCGAGAAAACACTAATAGCAAATCAAATCACATATGTATTGGATCGTGTTTATACAACCAAGTACTAAAGTTGGGACTGATAGATAGAAAATAACTTATCGAAACAATTCCATTTGCACACATGATCCAGACCTATTCATCACGTAATCCGATCCTTCATCACCACCTTCACTAACGTGATACGTCTCCACCTTTGTTTTGCTATACCGGCTTCACGTGTTTTCCTTACAGTCCAAACTCCAAGTATCTAATAAATACAAGAGACATCTTGAAAGAAGGGTTTTTGCAATAAAAAGTGCTTATTTGAAGATGTAATTAAACTAAAATATAAGGTATTGTATGTTTGTATACATGTATATCTGTGTGTATTTATATCTATGTTTTTGAAAATCTCCACAGCCTAAGATCCAGGTGGCAAGCAAGTACGAGCGCCGTATTGACAGACGAACATACGGCGACAAGAGACACCTGTTTGATGGTGTACGTACAACTCAGGTTTTGTTTCTTAAACTTACAGTCACACTAACAAAACTAACTCTAAGATTTTCTAGAGTGGGAGAAAGTCAGCCCTTTGTTGGAACGCTGACCTCTGACCTTGTAGAGCGGAAATGGTTTAGGAGTTGCTCCTGTTTGGTTCTTCTTCTTGACGAAATTTCAGGCTTAATAATATGTCTTTTTATGGGACTTACTGTACAACCCATAACTTCGTACTTAAAAAAAAAATTAGCCCATGCTGTCTTCCATCCCTAAAATGTTTATAATTCCTTGCATTGCAATGGAATGAAAGCGTTGATACTGATTATAACGTTTAGTATTTTAATTATGGATGTATTTTGTCTAAAACCCCTTGATTACAGAGTGATTAAAAATATGTTTACACTTTTTCCTTCACGAATGTAATAATAAAAAGAAAAATTATTGATATACTAATGATGATTAATATGTCGAGTATTGTAAAGTCTGTGTAAGTAAAACTTTTTTATTTACCAAAATTTTGGCGATGTACAATTCACCATCATCAAGATAGTTGACGACAATGGTTGTTACTAAATGCATAGCTCGGATCACAAAGAAAACATTGTTTTACGTAGCACTGACATGTGGGGTGTGAAGTACAATTAAGTGTTTAAAAATGTAATTTATAGACAAAATAAATTAGCAATTATTACTGGCAAATTAAGAAGTAAGAGAAGTGCTGGAGGATTACAGTAGAAATAGAAATAGAAAAACGAGTAAGATAAAGTAACCTTTTTCTCAGAATTTTGCCAGTTCTGAAACAGATAATAAAAACGAACTGATTGAAATAATTTCATCGTAAAATGATAAGTATTGAAACTATTTTGCGAGAAGAGAAAATTGTAAATTACACTCTGGTAGAAACCTGTTAGATAACAAGCCATCTTAAATCTGGTAGAAACCTGTTAGATAACAAGCTATCTTAAAATCTAGTCTAATACATAAATAGGGATAATTAATATTTAACGATTGGGGCCAGTATTCTGGAGTATGGAATGTAACTTGATTAACAGTTGTTTAGCTAAGGCTGTCTGAAAATTTTCTTTATTTCACGAGTTAGTCTGAAGGTTCTGCTTTCTATCGGTTTCCCAGCAGACCAGTTGATACTATGTAAGTTATCAGATACAGTCGAATACTTTCGTCTGCTTTTGATGCACTAGTCCTCCTATGTTCACTTATTCGTTTAGCAAGATTACGTCCTATTTCACCTATATACATATACGCCAGAACAATCTAAATACAGTAACTGGTATACAACCTCGGTTCTTACATCAGGAGGAATAGGACTTCTAACACATGTAAACGAGTTGTGAAGCGCCATGAGCAAATTGAAAACTAATCTGATGTTAAAGAGTGTAAGGATTCGTTTAAACACTTCTGATACCAGTTCACGTCCGTGGTTATTATAATGTATGAATACTCGATTCTGGCTGTGGTTTCAATGTGGATATTTCTAATTTCTTCCACAATGTTCCTAATCAACTTTATTGGGTATTGGTTTTGGCTAAGGGAAGACTTAATATTTGCTGAATGAAATTACACCCGAGTAGATTCTAAAATTTTTTTAATCAATGCATATATATTAACCCTTTCTTAACCGATACTAGATGGTGGGAAGTAAAGTTTAAGTATTGATTTCGATGTAGGTTTATTGTATAGGTCGATGCTTAGTGTGCTATCAGCAACACTGGAGATCATGACATGTGGAAAGGCAAGTTGATTTTGTGTTATGATTTCACTAAAATGTATAATTGGCTTCTGATGTTTTAGAAACGAAAAAATTATTTTGCATATTTAGTGTCGATAGTAGAAAAGATATCAGGTAAGTATATTTTCCAAATACGAGGTGGAGCACCATTTTCCAATTCTTCCATGAAAATATTGGTTACAATAAGTTAAAACAGGTGAAACCAAAGATTTTTGGTAGAATAAGTTGTTATAAACAGAATATGCAGTTTTTAGAAAAAAATACTAAGACATTACAGTTGTTATTCACTGTAAGTTGTGTTCTCCGTCTTTATGGACATCATTCTGCAAGTGTGATTTTACGATAGTTATCTTGGCATTTACAGGAACAGTCATAAATAAAGCATCAACAACATAGAAAACCAAGGATTCCCTCTGACTCTCTGAGTGAGATAACGCAGTTTGAACAAATTATATTTAATTAATTAATGTTAACCGAAGCAGAAATTATGAGGATCTTCTGAATTATGCCGGAAGAAACTGTGAAAAAGTAATATGTGGTTGCACCTATGCATGAAACTATAGATCTAAGAGGAACTTCTGACTTATGCCGGAAGAAACTGTGAAAAATTAATATGTGGTTGTATCTATGCATGAAACTATAGATCTAAGAGGAACTTTTAAATTATACCAGAA